CTTGTTAAACTCCATGAGGTTGGAGCTGCTCCATGAGCTGATGTACAGCTCAGACGTGATCTGACACTTCACTTCATGTGTACTTTTATGAGCCAGGGATTCTCATCTGGAGAACATTTTCCGCTCTGGTCCACTGCTCAAAGCAGGTTTTTCTCTTCTTCTCTGTCTTCATGGGGCCTGAGTGGCTGATGTACATGTTACCCTTTTCCCTAGAAGCCGTCTGCTGTTGTCTGCTTCCTTCCGAGGTTTTCTTTTCTCTTCAGGTAGGTTAGTGGTTTTCCCTTCTCTGCAGAAGACAGAGTATGTAATGTCTGTTGATTTCAGGTCTTCTGCAGGTAGAGATTTCTCTATTAACACCATTTAAAGAGTTCTTCTTGTCTTTGGCTAGTTGCAAGAAACTGGATCCTCTACAGATGTTGGGAAGCAGGGTGTTCTGCCTTTGAAAAACTGTAGGATGAGTCCTGCATTTGTAGTAAACATTTGTTTTAGGAAACAGTAGATTAGATATCAGGGAAAAGTTCTTCATGCAGAGGGTGGTGAGGCACTGGAACAGGTTGCCCAGAGAAGCTGTGGATGCCCCATCCCTGGAAGTGTTCAAGGCCAGTCTTTATGAGGCTTTGAGCAACCTGGTCTAGTGGAAGGTGTCCCTGCCCATGGCAGGGGGGTTGGAACTAGATGGTCTTTAAGGTCCCTTACAACCCAAACCATTCCGTGATTCTATGATTCATTAATGTTTATTAATTAAATATTAATATTTATTATTTATTCATTAATGTTTATTTGTTTATTTTAGTGAGAATGATTTCGGTCTTACTGCCCTTCCTTTAATTTCTTCCATTTTTGTAACCATAACATTTCCACAGTGATCCCGATGAATTCCAGAAGTCACTCTGTTACAATAATGTTTTTAAGGTGCACAAAATAGGATGTTGTTAGTGTGCATTCTGGGTTGGCTGAATCTCTTCCCGTAAATGCTCTGGGTGTTTAGATGGAACAGGGCATGTTTTATGTCACTGTCATTGAAATCAGCATTTATCCTGGGCCGTTTCTGTATGCGTGCACACGTGTACGGCAGCATCGCTGCTGGGAGTGGCAGGGCCCCGGGTTGTCCTGAGCCCTGTACTGCTCTGAGGAGGCTTGCACCCCATTAATTTGACACACACGATGGGCTGGGGCGTGCAGTGCCAAGTCACTCTGGAAGCAGGGCAGACCAAATAACAAAACCTGGTTGTTGGTACGTCTAGGTGTGGATTTACTTCCTTTGGTAGTTAACCGGGGGCATTTCTTCCGGTCCTTCCTGCTCCTGGCCACCTTATTTTCAGTTATAAAAACTGTACTGTCAGTGAAGCGTGGTCTCGGAGGAACGTGTCTGGGAAAGGCTTGGGAGTAAAACGTAAATAAGCACCATTCCAGCCTATGGGCCGACATGCTGGCTGCAGGCACTTTAGACAGACGTGACGGGAGCTCCTTTTACCGTGCCCAGGAGCTCCCCTGGCATTTTTAGATCCTGAAGGCCTCAGAGACCAGCCCCACTTTGTTCACAGCAGGGACTGTTGCACAAAGCACTTGGGTTACACTCCATACGTAAAACAAATCTGGATTTTGGATCATTTTCTTTATTTTCTAGCCTCTCTTTGTTGCACTTTCTGACCTCTGGAACAGCTTTCAGGATGAGGTACTACTGCTAAACTTCCTCACCAGTATGACTAACAATCTGCAACAGTTCTCGGAAATCCAATCACAGCTTTTTCCTGAGGAACTGCTGACGTCTCTTCTGGAAGGAGTGACTGTGAAAACTGATGAGGAAAGGATAAAAGAAACCATAGGTACTTAAAGTTCCTACTTTTTGGTTTTCCTTCATTTTCCAACATCTTGTGGTTTGAATTTTTCTTTATAGAATGTGCTACACATTGATTTTCTAATCATCAGAACTTGCACAGTAAATTGAGTCTTGTAGTGTGTGGGTTTATTTTTCATGTAATGTAGTTTTTTTAGTTAGTTTAGATTTTTTTATATATAAAATTAAAATATATTTACTAGGTACAAACATACCTTATAAAAATGAGAATGACCAGAGAAGAGTATTTCTACTTTTTAAATTTCTTACGTTTGTTTATGTCCTTTTATACCTTTCAGAACTTCTGAAATGGAGGGGGAGGGGAGAATAAAAAAGCTAATTTAACTGTGGTTACCAGAAGGATTTGCTTGTAAGATGGTACCCGTAGCAACCAGGTTATACTCCAGCAGATTTGTAATACATGAGTGGGTGAAAACAAAGCAGAATAAGATATTACCTTACTGTTGTTGTCCCCTGATCCCAAAGAAAACTAATGCTACTAAAGAAGGACTGATTTTTCAGTAGGATCTCTCTCTAAGGCAGGGCTAAAGCTTGGCTTTTGGGATCTTGGCACTGCAGGTCATCCAGTGGTGACCACAGTAATCCAGTCACCCTGTAACATATTTTAAACATCTGGTGTTTTGTTACTGAAATCCTTCCTTTGTTAAACCTTTTCTCAGGAACCAGAGTGAATGTTTCAGACTTCAAGCACCACGAATGGCTTTTTCCAGAGACTACTCGTAATTTTGATCAGTTGCTAATCCAGTACCATAGTTTCTGTGCATATGCAATTGGTGTGAAAGGCCTCACCCTCCCAGGTATGCTTTGTAGTTAGCTCTGTTCCATACTTTATATGGACACAGGTACTAGGGAAAATGTAAAGACGTGTTCTGAATGCGTCCTTTTGCGTCAGAGCTGGAGTCCTGGATTTCTGTGTTTGTAATTTTCACCCCAGATAACTTACTTCCCCCATTAAAGTATTTTTCTTTTAAAAATACACAAATAAACTGCCCTAAATAGAAGGTAGGAGCGCTTTGGGAGAGAGCAGGCATGAGCAAGCAGAGGCAGAAACAAGATGGGATGGATAAATGTTTCCTCCTGCTATATGTGTATCTGTATCACCTGCACTGGAGCTTCATGCAGGTTTGTTACTGTGGTTGTTAATGTGTTGTACCACAAGCACAGGAAAACGGTCATTCCTTCTATGTTTGTGTATCCGTGTGTTGCAAATGCACTCACTCATGCCTGCGTCGCATGTGTTTTTAAATAGTTGTTGCGAAGTACTAAAAATCTTCTCTGAAAGGAATGAAAAAGTGCACTTAATCAAGTCAACCAATCACAGAAGTTTTTTGGTCTCCCCTAGGGTCATTTGTCTTGAAAGCGAGCCTAATTTCAGCTACCCTTTCAGTACCTCTGCTATGGAGACAGGCTGAGAGAGTTGGGCTTGTTCAGCCTGGAGAAGAGAAGGCTCCGGGGAGACCTTATAGCAGCTTCCAGTACCTGAAGGGGCTACAAGGAAGCTGGGGGGGACTTTTTACAAGGGCCTGGAGTGACAGGCCAAGGGGGAACGGGTTTAAATTGAAAGTGGGGAGGGTTAGATTGGATATCAGGAAGAAGTTCTTCCTGGAGAGGGTGGTGAGGCACTGGCACAGGCTGCCCAGAGAAGCTGTGGATGCCCCATCCCTGGAAGTGTTCAAGGCCAGGCTGGATGAGGCTTTGAGCAACCTGGTCTAGTGGAAGGTGTCCCTGCCCATGGCAGGGGGGTTGGAACTAGATGGTCTTTAAGGTCCCTTCCAACCCAAACCATTCCATGATTCTATGATTCTACCCTGCCAATTCATGTTTTCTGTCTCCCTGTCCTTTATAGAACGTATCCATATCGCTTTTTTTTTAAACCCACGGGAGGTTGGGAGGAAAAAAATAGGTAATTGAACAGCAGTGTAAATTGCTTACATTTATTTCACACTGCATATGGGAACAACAGTCCTGGGTTGGACTGAATATCTCTCTGGGCCTGTGTCCGATTTCTGGACGTGGACAGTCATGAACACTTGAAGATGATGAGAAATCAAGTAAAAATGATCCTTAATTATATCCTTCTCTGTTCTAGCAGTTAGTGGTTATGGGATTTCCTCAGATAAATGTTGAGTTCATAACCTTCTGTCGAATAATCCTTGATAGAGGTTTTTCATTTTCCTAATTGCTTTTTGAATCTATTTAGAGTTTGCCATAGGATATTCTTATTGTCCAGAGTCCCACAGGTGTATGTAGTATGAAAAGGTGCCTCTTTCTGAGACGCCTTTTAAGCTCTGGCTTGATAATTTCATCAGAGACCTGATAGTCTTTCTATTAGGAAAATTAGCAAATAGTAATTTTATATTGCACGCAGTTCAGGGTTTTATAACCCCGTATCATATTCTTTCTTTTCAGTTGCTTCTTTTTAATGCTGAAGAGGCCTCTCTCTTTCACCCCTCCTTCTGTGGTCACTCCCAACTCCCTTCATTCTACTTACTCTGTTGTTGGAACAAAATGCAGCATTACAGATGCAGCATATAGGTGGTTTTGATGTTGGTTTTCCTCTCCCCAGTCTAATAATTCCTGACATTCTTCTTGCTTTGTTGATTGCCACTGAGTAGTTCAAGGCACTGTCTATAATGATTCTAGGTCTTTCCTGGGCGGTGACAGCTGAAGCAGAGCCTGCCACTGCCCTTGAGCTCATTTTGTGTTCTCCTGTGCCTTTACTGACATTTCCTTCTCTCTGCTCATTTGTTGCCCAGCTTCTCAGCTGCTTCAGCTGCTGCTTCAGTTCATTTCAGTGTTAGGCCCTTCGGTGTAAATGGGCTGCTGACCTGTGATCAGATATTGGCTGGAGATTATAGGGGAAACACTTGTGGGTATGGGCTGCTTTCTTACGCCTTCGCTACAGGTGGCTTATCAGTTGTTCTGACAGACAGGCACTAAGGCATGCCGGGTGTGACCTGATCAAAAGCAGTTGTACCGGCCTAAGGAAATCGACTTTTCCTTATTTAAAAAAGCTTATTTTCAGGGATTCATTCCAAGTTTAGAAAAAAAAGGAGGTGAAAATGACTGGAGGGAAACACATAATCTTGATTACAAATGTCTCTTGTATCCGATATTGTGGGGATTGTTTTGGGTTTTTTGGGTTTTTTTTTTAGGAAATCCTGCTATTGGAATTTTGAAGCACAAGCAGAGATGCTATGTTTTCAGTTCCAAAGAAGCTGCATACATCTTTGCTCAGGATCCAGATAAGTACATTCAGCTGATTCTGGAAAAAGCAAAAGAGCACGCAGAGCTGATTCAACTGCTGGAGCTTCGCCATCAGTTTGAATACCTCATTCCCTGTGCACAGGTACACGCTGCCCGTGCCTCTTGCTGAGCAGCTGCTGGGTCACTGGTTGATCTGTCCTTTCCAGAACATGGAGAGAAGAGATGATACCCATCTTTATTTAAGTATAATTGTCTGCCTATCATACAGAATGTCTGGCGGGCCATCTTTTCCAGGTGTTCAGGGTGTTGACAAGAGACTTTCTCCCTTAGTGCTGTTCTCATCTCTTCATAGGAGAATAACTAGAGCCAAAGGATGTGGCAGCGATAAAAGCTGTTCGTCCTTAGCCTAGGAAGATATTGTGGCTGATGTTTCTTTTCCTCATTTTTGCAAAAGTAGCTTAAAGGGACAGTAAATAAATGCGACATGATGTAAGGCAGGTACTGTATTACCTGGAGCTTTAGCTCAGCAGTTCATCGGTAGGCGCTCGATGAGGGTGCAGTGGTGTCTGGGGACAGCAATTACGGAATATATTACAAAATGAAATTAGTAGTGGTTGGACGGTACTGCTATGGGAAATCCAGAAACTTGATTTGGATACAGACATTCTCTGTGATCCTTTGTGAATGGAAGGAATGTTGTCTTCTCAGCCTCTACTGAGAAAGGTAGGGTTTGTATCCCCGCTCTGGCAGAGATGTACGCGCTTCTACTTAAGATTTGTGACTTTTAGTCCATTCATAAAGGCAAACTGAGGTGCCTGCATCATAAAATATTGGTGGTGGTGGTGTTGGTGGTGGTGAGACCCCTTTTCACCAAAATCCAATGATTAAACACTCACTCGGGATGTGGGAGCCTGAAATTCAGCTGTGGCCTCTGCCTAAAGGGTTCTCTGTCAGAAATTAAACCCATCAAATACTTCCTGGTTTCTTCTTTTCAGTGGGGGCAGGTCGAACGAAAATACTGTTGAATGTAAAAATCATTATCCACTTGTGGTTCACAGGTTTCTACTTGCTTTTCAAAAGTAGCATATCCATATGCCGTGTTTCTTAGATGCCTGTATTCATCTCGTTAATGCCTTGCTTGGCTTTGGGTGTTTTGGTTTTTTTCCATCCAGGCCAGAAATGCAGACAAATGTTTCATGAAACCAACCACAAAATGTGACAGTAATACTCAAACTGATACTCACATCTTGCCTCCAACTATTGTGACATCCTACGAATGGAATGAATGGGAACTGAGAAGAAAAGCTATAAAATTGGTTTGTATTGTTATTACCAGATTTTCATTGCTGGATAACAAAGAATAAGTCATTGTCAACTTTTTTTTTTCCTTGCAGCATAAATCTAACCTTATTGAAAGAATAAGGACTTCGTTACAGCCAGCTCAGGTTGTTTGGGTTTTTTTTCCCCAGCTCTTTTCTCCCCTTATTTCTAGACTTTCTTATTCTCCCACTTTTTCCCTATTTTTCTGCATTTCTTTTGAGCCATGCTTCCACTGCTAAGTCTAATAATTCCAATTTTTTCAGTTGCCTTCTTTAAGTAATTAGAGTTTGTAGATTAGCATTGAATTTTAAAGTTGTTTCTCTACACTCAAATAAATGCAACAGATTGAAGATACTGCTATATACTTTGTTAAAAAAAAGGTTGCAGAAAGGTTTGGGTCAGGCAAAACTTTATTGCAAGTTGAGGCATTTATATTGCTCAATTTATATGTTGGTCTGTTCTCCCGCATAACTGGTGACAGGACAAGAGGAAATGGCCTCAGGTTGCATCGGGGGGGGTTAAATTGCATATTAGGAAAAACTGTTTCACTGAAAGAGTGGTCAGGCATTGGAACAGGCTGCCCAGGGAAGTGGTGGAGTCACCATCCCCAGAGGTGTTCAAGGAGCATGTAGACATGGCACTTGAGGACACGGTCTAGTGGGTACGGTAGTGTTGGGTTGGTGGTTGGACTAGATGGTCTTATAGGTCTTTTCCAGCCTTAGTGATTCTGTGTAACATTCATCACCATCAAGTAAGAGGAGGAAAAATTTAGTAACTGGCAGACAGAATGATTAGGAATAGTTTTGGACATGTTTGACCCTGCACAAGCTTTCTTTGAGATAACTTACACATCCTTGAAAGGAATCAGAGCATGAGGCTTTTTGCATTTTTGTTTCCATAATGAAACATTTTTCATTTTATTCCAATTCTTTATGTTTGCTAAAACCAATTCTGCCTCTTTTGGAAACAAAAAAAAAAAAAAAGTGAGGCAACATTCAGAATCCAGGTGCTAAAATAACAGAAATAGCTTATCAGTGCATCTGTGAATTTGGTACTTAAGGGGAGCATCGGACATAGGGGAGCAGATTTTGCTAGAGATGAATTCTTCAGGTTTTTTTCCATTGTTCATACGTAGCCAGAAAACTTGTAGTGATATGAAGTTTTTAAAGTATGACTTTGTTAGGACACTTATTTGATGTTAGAAGTAAAACTTTCAGCTCCCATTTGTTTCTCTGTGCACACATTGTTCCTTGCAGCGGCGCACATTCTGTTTTCAAGAGGGATAAACTGAACAGAGTGACAGTATCTCACTCCTGCTCTTGTTCTATTTGTCATGAAAACCCTCAGAAAACATACTGTCTGTCTTTCCATGCCATCTCGTCTCTCCCATGGCAGGGGGGTTGGAACTAGATGGTCTTTAAGGTCCCTTCCAACCCAAACCATTCTGTGACTCTAGGACTCTTTTCTGCATTTTCCTCCATGACACTGTGCTCAAGATTCAGTTGCACATTAAGATACCAGAACGTGTCTGCATATAAGTGCTTCAGCGTCCATCCCAGTTGACAGACACCTGCCTTGTGGAGTCTGGAGAATATTTTGACTCGCCTTGACACACCAAAATTGGCCACTTAAATCACTCTCCCGCTTCCACAGACTCCAGTCTCCCTTGACTGGACTGGACTCCAGGGACTTTCTCACCTACACGTAGGGGTCTGGATCCCACCACCTGCCTGTATTTTGGATATTCCAATAATGTTACGTCGTATGATGTGCAGAGCTTTCCATCACTGTGACACAGAAGGCTCAGTGGAATAAGGAACATCTTCTTGTTCCAAGTTCTGACTTTGTAATAGTAACACTTTGTGAGAAGTGGTTTTGTTGTTGTATCTAGAAAAGTTTCTGTGATTAAACAGAGATTTAATCATAAATTACCTTAGTTTACACCCATTGCCAATGGGTTAATGAGCAATGTCTTGAAAGAAGGCATTTTTTCCTTTTTCTCTGATCTTTTGTGACACCAACCCCCAAACCTCGTCACATTTGGTAGAAAACAAAGACTTGAGCCTGTAGTTGGGTGATCCACAATATACAGGACCCTCAAACTTGGTTTAGGTTGCAGATGCCCCAAGAGATGAATCCAAGCCTGCCATCACGTTCCGCATCCTTTCAGACGGACTGAAATTAATGTGAAGCGCTGGAAAAGCTTACCATGAAAACATCATTTTATTTTAACAAAAAAGGCTTCAGCATTTAAGAGAATTAGAAGCACAGTGGCCAAGGGAAAACACAGGAGCAGTAGGAGGCTGACTTAAAACGCTGTGGGCTACGTAGTGCTGCTCAGACAGCCCTTTAGTTCAGGAGTTGTCATATCACCATGGCAACCATGTATTGATAACTGGGAGAAGTGGGCCACGTTCTGGAGTTGCTAATATAAAACACAGCAACGCCCCAAAGCCTAACACTGGTGCCAAAATGTCCAAAAAACATGTTGCTTAATCCCATTCTTTTTTCTGTTTTTAGGTCAATTTGCGCCGCAAATTAACTCATGCCCTGCAGACGGATCTCAGCCATATGAGAAGAGAGAACGCCACCCAGGTGTACTTGCCGAAAGACGCTAGCACCCAGACCAAGCGTGACAATGCAAGCAACGTACCCAGACCGCAGACTTTCTTGGAGGGGCTCCGAGGAGCATCATCTCCCACCACTCACATGGTCAAAGTAGACTTAACAAGAGCAGTAGATGAAAACTAAGTGAAAGTGAGAAACCTGCATATTTAACGTATTCGTTAAAAATCCCTGCACATACCTGAATTGATACGAAATATTTTACCGTGTCTGTTGATTCCAGGAGTTTATTTCATCTCTCTTATCTGTTGGGGCTGCTGACTTTAAGGAATAGACATGATGAGCCTGAAGCACCCAGGTTTTAAATAGCAATTTATAGCCAAGGCATTCCCAAAGACTTTAACTTAAAGTAACGTTTAAGTGTTGTGTTCTGGGATTATTCTTGAGGATTTAATACAAGGATTGGTTGCTGAAACGCTGTCATTAAGAGCCGTGTCTTTGGTATGTGAATAATATAATGTAAGACAAATAGCTTTTATGAGGTATGGGGCCAAGGCGGCAGCCAAGCCCACCATGAAACTGTGTCCCTAAGCACCACATCTCCATGTCTCTTAAATACTTCCATGGATGGTGACTCCACCACTTCCCCAGGCAGCCCGTTCCAATGCCTGACAACCCTTGTGCTGAAGAAATTTTTCCTACTATCCAATGTAAACCTCCCCTGGAGTAACTTGAGGCCATTTCCTCTCATCCTATCACTTGTCACTTGGGAGAAGAGACCAACCCCCACCTCTCTGCACCCTCCTTTCAGGGAGTTGTAGGGAGCGATCAGGTGTCCCCTGAGCCTCCTCTTCTGCGGGCTAGACCATCCCAGTTCCCTCAGCCGCTCCTCACAGGCCTTGTGCTCCAGACCCTTCCCCAGCTCCATTGCTCTTCTCTGGACACGCTCCAGCACCTCAGTGTCTTTCTTGCAGTGAGGGGCCCAAAACTGAACACAGGATTTGAGGTGTGGCCTCACCTGTGCTGAGCACAAGGCGATGATCACTTCCCTACTCCTGCTG